TTCTAGAGACCTATATCAACACACATGGAGAATCATTTTGAGGTTGTATAGGAATATAATACCCATATATACATAAGATTTTTACATATATTTAATGTATATAGGACGTCATAATATAGCATGCACATTGTAAATAAAGAATCACAAAAGAATTTAATACTCTCCAACAAGGAAAGCCGTTCTTTTGTTTTATTAAAACGTACTACAATATTCGTTAAAGTTTACGCTCGAGTTAACGTTTTTTGCTGCGTTAAGTACGGATTCTGTTTTGATTACGTCAATTCCGATGCAAATTGTTAACATTTTTCTCTTTCACACTTGATACCGACGGCTGTTGAATAATGAGATGGTTGACTTTGTTCTTTTATTTATGTGTTCTCTCTTTAAAATATTAAACTTCTTTAGATTTTATTCCGTCTTTGTTACATTGTTAATTTCATGCAAGAAATAAAAGGTTCTGTCCCGGAATGATGAATACTCGGGCACACAATTTTAATATTTTTTTTACAGATTTATATTAATTCTTGCATTAGTTATATTAAAATGGATATTTGGTAATTATATACTTTTGATTACTGTTAAAACAATTCTTGTCTGTAAACAAACGTAATTAAATGAAAAAACTTCGTTGTTATAACTTTACAACAATATAAGAACATGCCTTAAATTAGATTTAGTATAAAAATCAACATATAGGGGAACTTAAGTAACTGGGTAAGCTTCGGTATTCATACAGCATTCATACAGTACGTAGAATACATATTCCTCATCATTATTCCCCGTGCAATCGATACGGCAGTTATTCAAGTAGTTAAACCCCATCGAAGTTGGCCAAGCTATTTGCTAGGTTAAACAACTTGACATATTTTCACTGCAGTAGACAGTAATCGAGTAATGATGATACAAGGATAAAGTAATGAACATATTTAGGATTCAGAATTCAATCCAACAGATAAAGGTATATTATAGATATGCACGGAATGCTTCAAGCTTTAGCGACTAAAACTGCGGTTCGTGTATGCGAACGTTAATAATAGTCTGTGTATTTCCTCCCTTAATTACTGATATCAAATGTCATTCAATCCTCCTTAGTTACAATTTTGAATAGAGTTAATGAATTATATTATTGTATCGTAAGTAAGAACATTGCGCTGTATTGCACATCTGTTGAAGATTAAATTTGAGATGATTTATAGAATATAGAGAACATCTCGCAACCAATGTAACATCCCAGTTTGTAATAACTTTGTAAATGAACTCTGTGTCTTGATATAGTAAATCAATTATTAAATCTATTCTATGATCTTGTCTAAAATTAACTCTGTATCACTGCATTTATGTTTATTATCTATTGCTTTTTCTATTATTAAGATATATTTAATTTAGTTCACTATATGAAGTAAAGCTACTAAGCTAAAAATTCTCTTATAAGAGTCCTTATAATCTTAATAAAGTTGTATCCGTGTCTTGAAGTAATCAAATTAGTGGAAACTGGACTGTATATTAAATTTTATCCGAGTGTAATTTAATTATTGTTCAAGAATGTTTTGACCATAATAAAGTTATTTCTTACACTGTGTTATTCTCAGCCAACATCAGAAAAGCTATTTTGTAAAATAACTGGCTGAAACGAAGATAAAAGCGTAACGATTTTAACAAACATAAAAATAAGGACAAAAATGTTCGCAGTCGGCAGGATTTGAACCTGCGATCCCAGAGGGAATCTGATTTCTAGTCAAACGCCTTAACCGCTCGGCCACGACTGCTTGCTGTTAAATAATGTAATATGGAATAGTAGGCGAGATTTGTACCCGATGATACGCGAACTTCACCCGAATCGAAATCCGAACGGTCTACAAACGCTTTTCGGCATAAAGCTCTTCGTGCTCTCTCATGTATAAAGGTTTTCGTGTATTGATGCACATTTACAGTAGCTTTTTACTGTAACAACACCTGTACAAATCTCATTTGAAAATCATTAAATTAGTAGATTTGAAATTCTACATTAAGTTCAGTGTCTAAATACAATGTATTTAATGCACTTATGATCTAATATATGTTTTTGTTGATGAATTATACTTAAGTGAGTTTTAAAAATATCCAGTTCATAGTTTGAATTTATAAAACACATCTAACTTATTTTTTCTAAACACATATATTTGTATGTTACTTACTCTGCTGGCGCAGCGACCCAAAGTAGGTCCTTGCCTCCGACACAAGAGATCGTCAAAGTCGCTTGTCTTATTTGTATGTCAATGTTTATTTTAAGTTTAAATGCGTTGGTTCATTTTTTGTTAATTCAGTTTAGTTACCTACTAGACTCGTTTAGTTACTTATAATTTTGTAATGTTACTAACTCGACTCATTTTTTTTTAATTTGTTGTGTGAGATTTAAATTATGAGTGGCCGTTAACCTTTGCAAGCAAGCGCTACAGATAAATTTGACTAATGCTTAGCTGACTCGCAATTGCCATGAATCTTTTTTTTACCTTTTTCAAAAGTATTTTTATCTTTGTAATTTATTTTAAAATTTTGTTAAATTTTAAAAGCTGCTCCAGAATTCAATGCTTGAAGTTGTAGCTAAAAATATACGTTAACCAATTGATCGTTGGTTTCTGAGACCAAAATTTATGTATAAAATATATTGTCATCCTTCTCATTATCTTTAAAAAAACGTAGCAAAATGTTTTATATAGTGTCTTAGGAACCAACGATTAGTGAAAAGTTTTGTTTCATATGATATGTAACTTTACAAATAGCGATTAAATTTAAATACGTAATAATACTATGTAACGATTGCTTAATATATAGGCAACCTTTTTAATAAAAAAAATTTAATAGAAAAAAAAAGAATTGTTATACATTAATGTCAATTACAAAGATAAAAATTGTTATAATTGAGTGTCGGTGGCTCAGTGGTCAAGCACTTGACTTGCAATCTACAGGTCCTGGGTTCGAATCCCGCCATGTACCAATGTGTTTTTCGGTTTCCGATTTACATATGTACATTTATCCGACGTTCTTACGGTGAAGGAAAACATCGTGATGCAACCTGCACATGTCTGAGAAGAAATTCAAAGATATGTGTGAAGTCAACCAACCCGCACTTGGCCAGCGTGGTGACTATGGCCTAATCACCCTTAACTTAGGGTAGGCTCTGAGCCCCTCGGTGGGGACGTATAGTGAGCTGATGATGATGATACATTAATGTACATTTTGTTGAACTATTAAATAGTAAATAAATTATATATTTAAATTGAAACTTTACAATTTCATAAGAAACAAAAGTCTACAAACAGTATTCATGTTAAATGTCTAACGTATGAAAATGTTGACTCAGTGCTATTGCTTCGTAGGTTCGTAGCGTGCTCTACATTCTCGTAGCAGTATTACGTAGAGTGTTTGACGTAGCACATACGACTCGTAACCGTCGATTTGCACTGCTTGTCGAACAAAATGTAATGTCGTATATAACCGGATTTCCAATAAACAATGTCAAAAAGTCCTATTGTAGTTGTCGTCATTGTCGTCAAATGTAAACATTTCGTATGAAATATTGCATTTATTAGTATTTTCGTTTTCATTGACAATGCTAGCATCAGGAAAAGCTCTTGTGTTAAAAGACTGGCTTACACTTAGATATAATACATAAAAGATATTTGACAACTATTTCTTGGTAAAAGCGTAACGATTTTAACAAACATAAAAATAAGGACAAAAATGTTCGCAGTCGGCAGGATTTGAACCTGCGATCCCAGAGGGAATCTGATTTCTAGTCAAACGCCTTAACCGCTCGGCCACGACTGCTTGCTGCTAAATAATGTAATATTGAATAGTAGGCGAGATTTGTACCCGATGATACACGAACTTCCGCCCGAATCGAAATCCGAACGATTAACAAAAGCTTTTCCTCCTATATGAAGCTTTTCGTGTATTGATGCATCCTTACAACGACTTTTACTGTATAACACTTTTACAAAATACATTTGTAAATTGTTGAATTGATTAAATTATAAGTTAAGATAAGTGAAAAGCAAAGATTTTAAATGGTGTTTTTTTTTCAAAAACATTTATGTGTGTATATTCGATGGATTAAAGTTTTTTAGGATTATAATATCCCTCAAATGAGATTATTATTAATTAAAATAGCAGTATTTACACCTACGTGGAGAATACATTATTATTAAAGACAAGCCGCTCAACAAACTCGATAAGGGACATAATAATAGGTTAGACAAACAAAGATTCGCAACGTCGGATCGTAGCGCGTAGCGTAGCGTAGCAATTTCGTAGCAATGTTAGAATGTTACATAGAATATTAATTAACTATTATATTATAAATACAGGTTATTATTGTTAAATTTATATAGAAATGGCTTTAAATTTTATTGTGCATATTTAACATAGCTATATCAAGAAGCTTATAAGCTCTGTGGAAGGCGAACTAAATTTTCCTTATCCAATCTATGTTATCGTCAATCTCAATACAGCTACAGTGTACAAAAGTAAGTATATATTTCAACCCCATAGAATCGATCGATCCTTCCAGACAGAGGGCTGGGGGATGTGCGATAACTGACCACGACAATAATTTTCTGCGATCTCTATAATATAATATAAGTTGTAATATATTTAAGATAAAACAGTTATTTGTACTAAAGAGCGATTGTTTTTAAAATGTTGTTTTATTAAAAGTGAAGATATTTTATAAATATTTTTTTAATGTAACACACTTTTAGAATTAAGTGAAATTGTTCTTATTTTTGTAGTTAAGTCATAAGTATAAATATTATTTATAAGGCTCGAGGTGCAATTTATATTAATTTAAAGCTTATTTTTTAAAACTAATCCATAAAATCATACCTATGTTGTAAAGAAGTTTAAAATACACATCATAAATGTAAAATAAATTGATATTATTATTAAATAAAGGAGATAAATGGCAAAATAAGGCTTTAGTTGTAAGTATTTAATGGTAACATTCAAGGGTTTTAGTAACTGGGGACGTAGCTCAATCGGTAGAGCACTTGCTTAGCAGGCGAGAGGTACCGGGATCGAAACTCGGCGTCTCCATAACCCCATTTTGCTTTGATTTATATTATTAATACTATTTTTTCCACTTTTAACAATTTTTTTTCAATATCCCCCGAAAATGCCAGTAATCATTTCGTTCTTCACTTCTTAAGAACGACTTTTAATACGGAAATAATCCTTCAAAAAATAAATTTAATCACCTTTGTGATTCTATAAGTTATGAGATAATTTTAGTTAATGATTGCATATGGCTTGACTATCTACATATTCGTTTAGAAATAATTATGTAAAGTTTAAATTAAATTATAAATGATGATAAATCATTTCAGTTTTATTTTTACACAATTTGTATATTACCATTAGCATTTTGAAAATTTTCATATTCGTCTAAAAGTATGATCTCGGTTCACGCATTTGGGACATCCTCGTCCTGTATTGTAATACAGCCTCCCAATCAGAGATGGCGTTTTCTATTCTTTCGTCAGATACTAAAGCAATATGCTTAAATGATGGCTCCAAAATTTAAACTTTTAATTTTAAATTTTAATGATGGTCAAAAGTTGGTTTTCTCTTAATTTAATTATCAATTTAATAAAGTTAATTTAAAAGTTAATTAAGTACTTTTTTAAAATAAAAGGAAAGCTGTGGAATAGGGTTGTCAATTTTTTATTCGTTTTAAAAAGTTCGTTGTAAAATATCAAAGTAATAAAAGCTTTTTCTTCATTTTTAGGTTTCCGTACCTCATAGGAAAAACTTTGTAGTCCGTCCGTCCGTCTGTCAAGAATCTTTTTCTCAAAAACGCGTGAAGGTATCAAGGTGTAATTTATTTTAATAAACGGAAATGTATACCAGAGTACGGATTTGGGGTAAATTGTTAAATATTTCTTTAAATAACATTATATGGATTCATTTCATTCGCATATTTGAGTCCGTTAAGAAGGTAGGAAACATAAATAAAATTTTGCGAAGGATAAGGTTTCATAATATTGTGTTAGCGAGAAAATTCACCCATTTCTTTAAAAATGTTCCATTTATTAACGATACTACATATATATTACTGCAGCTCACTGAATAATTATTTTCCTAGTAAAGATTTTATTGCGTTTAATTAATTTCTTTTATGAATATAAAAAATGGAAAATAAAAAAAATAGAATATAAGTAAAGTTAACTGTAATTACATTAAAGGAAAAAAAACGTATAAATAAGACTACAGCTCTTCAGTTTGAACTAAAGAGTTAAATTTAAAAGTTTAACTGACGCCAACGTAATAAAATAAAATTTGACGTGAAATATTAAATGTCACATTTTGTATTGTACAAAAACTTGCAATTAACTGTTCACAGCGTACAAAGGAATTTACGACGCAACAAAAAGTTTCAAATCCAGCAGATTTCCAATTTGCATATGAATGGTCGTTACAAGGCGCAGGCTTACTTTGAATTTTAAGGAACAGGACACGTCAAGCTCATACATTCACTTATCTCGAATTTAATAAAGACAAAGTTGTACACTTCTTTGCGGGCTCGTTTAGTGCAAGTATGTAATTTTTTAAGGCAGAATAAAGCATTATGATAATATGCCCGTATTTGATTGTTATCCTACCATCACCTATGCGAACAAGGCAGAATTTATTTAGTATAAGGTAGGGTTTTTGCATAGTCCGTTTCTCTATAGTGAAAGCGCACCAGCGGCGGCGGCGTTCGCGCGATGGAATATTACATTACGTGAAATATTGACCGGAAACCGAGTTTGTCAACAACGTCCGTTGGGGCTTTTGGCGCCTGATTATTAATTCGATTAAAGATCTCGATGCAAATTAAAGTAAATATACATTTATTTGTATTTTAACAATATTAGCTTAAAGATGGACATATGAATATAACATATAAATAGCTTCAAGAACATTTTGCTAAATTCCATCTCCTGTCAAATTGATAATTCGTATATTCATGAGATATGTTTAATGAGGCTGTTATCGAGGTCAATTCGATGAGGTGAAAATAGAATATGACGCATAGGATAAGACAAGACGGCACCTTTAATGTCGTCTACATGGTTTGTGCCGGTTTACAATTTGATATTGACTTTCATATAATTCACAAAAATAACTCTTTAAAACAATTCTTTCGAATAATCTTTTTACTGTTATTATTATGTTGTAATTTGATACAACGGAGTTTTTCAGATTTATTTTATAATCAACAACACATATTCTCTCCGATTTGTCAAAGAGAATGAAAAGGACAGCAATTGCTACTCGTATCGAAGTGTTTTAGAAAAGAGTTTTGTTTTTATAAAATCACTTCTGATGACATGTCTGGGATAAACTTCAGAACTACTAAACCGATAATAATGAAATTTGATATCTATGAATAATTTTATCTCAATATGATGGTTTTTATCTCGATTATTGATCTTAATATTTGTATTTAGGTCAGAGCGTAGGTGGCTCAGTAATTAAGTACATAAATTATAATCTATTGGTAGAAAGGCACAATTTCATAAGTCGATAACTCGGTCGTTTTACATCATGCGGGGATTCCCCGCATACGGGTGAACGACTTATGAAAATTTTCAGTAAATGTTAACGACGCGTCATGCGGGGACTCAGTTGTCGAGTAAATTGCGTCGTAAGGAAAAGGTAAGGGCTACATCCCAATGCATGCAGGCGTTAACTACTTATGAAAACGGTTTAGTATGAGTCTATGGGATGCGTGAACAAGAAATCTCTTGCTCCACGAAGGTGTATAACGACTGAGATGACGACTAATGAAAGTGTGCTCTATGGCCTAGTCATCCTAAATTAGATTAGGTAGCCGAGCCCTTCTAGGGAAAGAGTTTAAGTTAATGAAGTGCTTGGTTAATGATAACGCGGTTGCTAGAAGTAGTTTGAAGTTGAATTATTTTTAATATTATATTAACCATTTAAATGAGATTTGCTCCAAGCTTATCAAGTTTGTGTCGAAGTAGACATCTCGTCTCAAATGAACTTTGGTAATTCGAGTGGTTTGCGCTTTCCCTTGAGATATTGAGCAGGTTATTTATTCCTTTTAAAATATAATGTCGTTTACAAAATGGAGGTGAATTTTAATGAGCATCTGATATTGCTTTAGGTACGAACTATTCTATTATTTTGTTTAAAACTCAATTTTGGATTTATATTACATTAGATGTGATGTAAAGGATAGCGTAAAGTAACTTAATTAGGTATAAGTTAAATTGATAAGGTATTTACTAAGTTTTTTAACAATCATATATGATCAAAATCTAAGTAATTAACTAATAAAAATACTGAAAACCAACTGTATGATACTCCGAAAAAGAAAACAAATCGAAACATACCATATTCACCAAATTCTATGCTTGTATTTAGGATATAAATCATAATAAAATGGACACACGCACGAGTAAACTTCAACCACTAGCTCATCGTGTAAAATATTCTGTACATCGGTGTTCCTAGAAGTGTCCGTGTTCCCGGCAGACCAGTACATAAAAATATTAACATCACATTTATTATTTAAAAAAAAGAGCTAATTTCTTTTTGGCCAGATATTTTGGCAGTGAAACCTCAGTGTTAAATATACTTTTTCATATCTGTTACTTTGATAGGTGATCTAAATGGTACTCAACTGCGCCTCCGCGAAACTAAGTTTGTAATTAACTCCGTGACTCTTGTCAAATGGGTCGGCTATTAATTGTGGCCAAGTTGGCGCTAAGTTAACTCGCTAAGTTAACTCACCACTGCCCGATAGTGCTCCTGTTAACTTAATTAATACAGACGCGTCCGAGCGTGAAATCAATTTAAGATTTGGATAATCTTAATTTGTTAGTCATAACGAAGCGGCTGTGATAATAGTTTTAGAGTACAATTTACAAGGTAATTAAAGAAAATTAATGATTAGTTTAACTAATCCTAAGTAATGGTGATAACTGAACATGTTTAGTTTAGTAAATATTAAATATTCAATTTGAACGCGATATAAAAATATTACTAATAAACTTTAGTACTAAAGGATTTACATAACATAGTAAATACATAGATTTGTTGAATCTCTTAACCAGTATTGAATATTGCAATCGATAGAAGTGGGAACATAATTTCCCATTATGTTTGTGTATTACCACTAATACTGAAATAATGCTTCGCTTAGAGTAACGCGAAATTGATACAATTTCTGTTAACAAATATTTATGCAATACTAGCTGTCGCTCTCGATTTGGTCCCCGTGTGATTAAAAAATAGCTTCTTAAAGGGTTTTTAAAATTATTCGAATTTTTCTCACCTTTTAAACCTGCCTTAGACCTACACGAACATATCAAGACCAAGATAAGATAATATCGTTCAGCCGTTTGCAAGTTTTAGCGAGACTAACGAACAGCAATTGATATTTATATATATAATTAGCATATTTTAATCAAGCATAAAGTTTAAACAATATGAAAATATTTAGAAGTTACCAAAACTATAAATAAACGGGTTAAAAAAGCTTAGTCAAATTAACGTCACTTTTTCGCATAGGAATCGGAAATAATATCAGTAAAGTTTTCAGTTCAGTGAATTTTGAGTCGTTGGATTAAAAAGTTTTCGTATAATTTAAAACTTATCACAATATAACCACGTTGTTGAGTTTAAAATTTTGGAAAATTTAGAAATTTAAATTTCGAACGTAAATTTTTTTTCAACATAATCAAATGCTGTAATTATTAGCCTAAACAACTGAACAGGTTTTGAAGAAAGAGGTGTTATTCGAATTCCCTTTTTCTCGATTTTGAATAAACAAATAGTGTTTTAATATATCTAATACACAAAAATCTCGTGTCACAATGTTAGTTACCAAACTCCTCCGTAACGGCTTGACCGATTTTTATGAGATTTTATATGCATATTCAGCACGTTTGACAAACGGCTACTACCTATTTTTTAATACAATGCGAGCAGAGATGTGGGAGACAGCGAGTTTTTTTATAAATATCTATAATAGAATTTATATTTTTCTAAAGACGAGGATAATAAATTTCCTTACAAAGTACAGGTAATATGATAGAATTTTAAAATAAGCTCTTTGTAGATGGTATTAGATTGTCAGAGATGAAATTTTGTTAACATGCAAGACGCCTTAGCAAGACGGTTAATAACGGGAACCGACTGAACGCGCGACTGATCAGGAAGAAAACTGGAACGCTTTGCCGCTTTAAAGCTAAGAATAATTTAATACCTTACGAGAAAAGAGGTAACCAAATTGAGTTGCTTTGTTGAAATTTTAATAACAATATATAACAAAAATGTCAGGTTTTATAACTAAATTCCGTGTCTGCATATTGGTAATAGTAGCAATGAAAAGACATGGATGAGACAGGAATTTTCTTATTAACAGAACAATATGTAATTTCGTTATAAATCAAATATAATTATTTTAAAATGTAAGATTCTTTAATTCACTCTTTAATTCTGTTTTTCTTTATATGTAGAAAATTACTTGGATTTGGATTATCAGTATTAATATATCTACACGAAACATCTACCAACACTATGTTACAAAACTTGGTAACGAAATTCAATTACTTTGAAAACAAATAAAAAGAAGTTTCAATTGAAGTCTACGTTCCAACTCATTGATATTCAATCGTATTCTCAAGATAAAAGAATTGAGACGATAATTAGCTTAATCTTATTAAGACCTAGAACTAAGTTTTGCGGATTAATAAAAAGGCGATATGAAAACCGAATTACTCGGAGTTGAAATTTAAATAACAAAATTAACTACATTTTATTACAAAAATAGGATTCACGATATAATGTTTTTATTTCAATTATTGCAATAAAAAAAAAAACTTAATAAATTTTAGGCTACTCTATTATATTTGTACTAACGCCCGCGACTGCGCACGCGTGTTATGAAAAGAAGCTGAGCAGCATATGAACTATTCCAGACTGTAATCCCTTTTATAAATATTCAGAAAAGTTCAAACATTTTGAAGTTACGTTGTAACAAGCGTCCATACATTCATACGTAGCTAAATATTCACATTTGTAATATTACAAGAGTAATTGACTCTACTCATAGACATTAGAAATAATTATGATTATTTAAGATAAATAAATGAACTTTAAGGGTATTGTAATGTTCACTAAATTAGACAAAATTGGTGTTTATTTATTAAAGGAAGACGACTGGACAAAATTTAGTTCGGCTCACTCTTTGTACCCTTCCCACGCGATGAGTTATAGCATAATTTGTTCCGCAACGCTTCTTATGTGAAAGGCCCCTGTAATTTGTTGGTTGATGTTGGATCATTTGCGAAGTAATAAAAACATAAGTTACGTGCCCCCAATGTGATACCTCCAAACAATCCTAACGACCTTAACATTAGTCGAACCCACATGACAATTGAAGTTTACTGTCAGATTTGGTTATATAAATATATAAAAGCACTCACCGCTTTAATCAGGATTTTCTTGATTCGTCCACTCTAAAATACAAATATAACAATGACTAGTATGTTTAAAAATATTGAAAATAATTAGGAATTCATCTTAATAATGGATGATGGATGGATGTTTGTTAGAATATATCTTCGGAATGACTCATCGGATCTTGATGAAATTTGGCACAGATGTAGAACATAGTCTACAAGAACAGATAAGCTGCTTATTAAGTTTTTTCGTTATATCGATATATAATTATTAAAATACAAGATGTTTAGTATCATGAATAAGATTGCCTTGACAAAGAGTTTGTTGGAAATAGTAACTTGTGCATTTCTAATTTTATTTTTTCGAAACACAACATTATAATATGTTCGTATATAACCATGAGGATAATTTATAAGATAAAAAGTCTTGTGGTAAGAAAAAAACAGTGAGAAATTTCATACATTCTACACGTGTCTAGGGAAATAAGGCGTTTGGTGATTTTAGAAAATTACTTTCAAGGTCATCGCAATATATCTTAAAAAGAAATTGTTGATAATTTTAACGCATTTTTTAAATTTAACAAAAGATGCTCCATTTTCTTGTATAATTATTTAAATACAAAAGATGTATTGTTAATATTTAAACAGTTTATTTTAACAAGTAATTGAAGATAAATATTAGAACCAAAATTCTATTTTAATATACAAAGAAAAGCTTTTAAGTACATTTAAAGTGGGAGTTACTTAAAACTAACTCGTCTATAAATTTTAAAATAGTTTTGAATTTATATTTCATTTCACCTTTTACCCTTGAATAAGTATATTATGTATGAATAACATATATCAACGAGTATATGAGACATCAATATAATACTAGTGAGATGTTTCTATGCACACTGGTTAGGACATTCAGTAGTTCAAGTAAACCGTGGAACATTTCACTTGGAAATATCTACATTCATTTCCAGTGAGATGGCAAAATATAAATTCCTCTGGCTTTTCTCTCGCCCGCACCAGAAGAGTTTTGAATAAAATTGCATTCAGTACTTGTAAGAAAATAAAAGATATCCATCGTTCATTTTATTTTATTGTATACAATTCAGATTGTCTTGTACTTTAGAGGTTATGTAAAGTGCAAAGAAGGTCTCGGACTCGAATATCAAGTTGATATATTGGTATGAATTACTATCAGATCAAAAAACATTTTCAGGTTTACAATGCGTTTCAAATATCCAAATTTTATATCATTTTTTTCTTTTTAATATCGACTCGCTATCTTTTTTCAAAGTCTAAAGGACTTAAGCATATGCCAGCCAGGGTTAATTCAATCATTGCCAGGGAGTTTGGAAATTTCTCAAACCATACCCACATGGTTTTGTCGTAAACACATTCCATTATTAAGCTTAACAATAGGTGTTAGGCATAAAGTAAACGTTGCATCTTTACAATCTTTGACAGATATCAGACGGCTTTATACTCTTTGTATTTTTAACCGACTTCGAAATGGAGGTGATTCTCAATAGATTATTTTTTGCGTTATGGTTGGTTTAATTTGGAAATCTTGAATTAAAATTTAAGTAACAAAATATGTTCTTTATTATTGGTTATATTATTAACTATATTTGTAAGGTTAATTTACATAAATGATTTATGAACTCTTAAGGTCGCCCAATAAGTACTCCCGCTTTAAAATTTTCCTCTCGAAATTTTGATGGAATTACGTTCCCATAGGGCATTGATGTTTAAATAATAAATTCTTCAAGCGCTACCACTTTTGTTGGTAACGAGAAATTAAAACGATCTTTTTATTGCATTGGAAACGATATTCGCTTCTGTTTTCAAAAATTATCGAAAATATCTTGAATTTCGAACCTAATCGTTACTAAATATGTTTGTCATAATTATGTATCATCGACTCTTTAAAATTTGTTTTGTAATGACAGTGAGAAGAGATTGATAAAAAATCGTAGAAATGAAAATTGTAATAAAGTCTAAACATAGACGTAAAAAATGTCGAAACTAACGTTTTAGCGATAGAGATGGGTATCTCTAATACTACTCGCTATTTCAGGTTCCCATCGATCTCCGTTACCCAACAACTTTTCTTTGTTGTAAATCAATTCTTCGTGCGTTTCGGTAGAATATTCAAAATTTGGTCCTTCGACGATAGCGTCAACGGGACATGCTTCTTGACAATAACCACAGAAGATACATTTAGTTAGATCGATATCGTATCGTATTGCTCTACGGGAACCGTCAGCGCGTTCTTCCGCGTCAATAGTAATAGCTTGTGCTGGACAAACTGCTTCACATAGCTTGCATGCAATGCATCTTTCTTCACCTGAAGGATATCTTCTCAATGCATGCTCACCGCGGTAACGTGGTGATATCGGACCTTTCTCGAAAGGATAGTTAATTGTTGCAGGCTCTTTAAATATATGGGCCAATGTAACAGCGAAACCTGGAATGATATTGTCGCATACACAAAGAGCTAGGATATATAGATTTCTAATTTTTACCTTTTTGATGCATTTATATTTACGAATTATTAACAATAGTTTAAACATGTTATCCATTATTTTATTTATCTACTTTGGTTAAGACTTTACTCAATTTTCTACTTATAAATATTATTCTTTTATATATCAGTACTTTAGAAACATTGTAATGTTTCAGTACAAATAGGTATAGTATACAGTCATTCCACTAAAACAAAACGCGCTTTTATATCAGTTTGTGATTTACCTCTTACAAGTTCTGTCCAAAAAACAGTTTGTGCAGCGCGGTCTACTATATCCCTGCCTCCGGATTTCGGCGGCACATCATTGATATAGGCAAAGGTAACGTCGTATTTTGTTCTCGGCCTGCAGAAGTTGACGGGGTACGCAGGTACACACGGATTGAATGGTATACAAGGCGGATTTCCTTCTTCGGGACATTTCCCTTGGCAGTATCGACGAATACATTTCGTACTTTTAAAGCTATCGAATTTTACGAATTTAAAAATAAAATACCTAGCAGCAATCATTTTTATGTCAGTTTCAATGAAATATGAAATGACAAATACCGTGATGAATAAATTAGAGTCCAAAAAGTTTAGGTTTAACTTTCGACCTATTTAGAGTTTTTTTTTGATATTTTGTTTTTTTTTAGCTATTTTTGTAGTTTTATACTGTGAGTCTCTAAGTGATGACTAAGGGAGTCCCTTTATAATTAAACAATGCGACTCTTTTAGTATAATCCATTATTGTAAATAGTTTTTTAAATAATGATAAACTTAAAATCCGTAAAGTTTATACAAAGCCTTAACAGAGTTCGTACTATCATCGTGTATTTCTGTTTCATGTTAGTATTGTATGGCACAAGGTTATAATGCAAACGCTGCATGAATAATGAATACAGCGCATTCGAGCAAAACAATTATGTAATGTAGCTATGCAAATCTGGTATTCGCTTTGTACCTTCAGGTACTAGTCTAATTGGTACAGCGGAATAATTAATATCCCGAGGCCACGAAGCTAATTCCATTATGTGATAGCCATTCACGATAATTAAATAAGACAAGTGACGTGATTTTAACAATGGTAGACGTCAGCAACTACCACATCTGTTGGACTAAAGGGCCAGCTCCAATACCACGACCAGACCAGTGGAATTAATCCGTATGCAGTCTAATGACTTTGCGTCCCGGAGGCCTAATTTTAGTCCTCTTTCCTTTCTCACCCTTTTATTGTAGGAAAAGTGATGGGAAGGTGGAGTGAATTTAATGTAGAAGGGGACGTATAGAAAGGGAAAATATTCTCTTTCTGTGCGTCGCCTCCACCGATGCTAGCTTTGACGCTAAATTAGATAATCTTGGAAATACCTTGTGATTTTCCTGCGTAAATAAATAGAAATGTTACGTAAAGATCAAGATAAGCCAACTATTTTACCACAGTACTCTGATATGTGCATAATTAAGTACAACGTACCCGAATTCCCGGCACGTTCGAAATATGTAGAATGTGGTTTAAACTAGTTGTTAATTTAAAAAATCAATGAACCTGATAACCTTGAAACAACTCTGCATAATACTATTCGAATACAATGGAATACCTCTAATTTCTGCTATGAGACATTTTTTTATGCCCATAGACATACGCAATTGCATATGCGTTGCCTTACCTTTAATCGACGGAGGAGAGGATGCACAGAAAGAAAATATTTTCCCTTTCCATGCATTCTCTCATCCGGAAAGTCCACTTCCACTTCCCATCCTTTACTCATAAGATAAAGGGTGAGAGGGGAAAGAGGACTAAATTAGGCCTGTTTTTTTTGTGAATGGTCGTTGTAAATGAGGTTTTGTTTTAGCTAGTATAAAATAACTATCAACCTAACACGTTTAGTAAGTCATAAATATATTTAGTACGCAGCAAGTAGAACAAGTTTGTGCAACGCTAACTATCGCATTATTTTAGTGTTACGGGTTGCATTGTGACTTTAATGGTGAGTTATGTTTCCTTTTGTGTTATGTTTGAAGTTATAAATATAATTTATATAAATTATCCTCAAGGTCAACGTTGTATGGATAAAATGCTACCGAAACGTATTTAATACTTTTAGAAATATTGAAAAATGAATATTTAGAAAGAGTCTCAAAGATATTGGAAAAACTAGAAAAAAATTGTTTCATCAATTTTAGTAAAAAATTCTAATTAAAATTCCCTTTGAAAAGAAAATTGGTAGTGGAAAAGTGTACTGTAAAATTCTGTTAAGTTTTGCAAAAGTTTGCGTTATATTGAAAACCTGTAAAGGTTTCATGAAAAACTGTAAAAAAATCTTGTAAAACACAGATTAATGAATAAGGCATCGGACAACTTTCTGATTAAAATATAAATTCAACGTGTAACGAAACTCAGCCTTTTAGTTACTTTAAAAACTGCCAGTGAATTTTACTTGAAAGCAACTTGGCTCTACTTTATTAAGATGTGAAAAGTTTCTTAATGTTTGTATAATAAAAACACAACTATTAATCAGCCATATTTAGTTTAATAGACACTATGGTTGATATATAAAATTTTCTTAACTTTCATATCATTACATCTTCAAAAAAAAGTTTAAGTAACTTTTTCGTTTTATATCTTTCCAATGTCAAAGTAGTTAAGCTCTTCACAGATATCCGTCACGGACAGAAACCACAATTAATCCTTATTTATACCAAACTTAAAGTTGGAAGACTAACAACAACGGCGTGGATTAAACAGGTCAAAAGTTTTTATGAACTTGTTCTTGTTCATACACTTGAACACTTTGTGATATAGGTATATATTTTTCTATTTTTATTGTTAAAAAGGAGATGAAAAATTAACAAAATATGTTTCTCACCATTTTGACCTACTCACGGGAACCGCACCATATTTTGACCAATTCTGAAAAGTGAGTGTGTCAATTCGTATTTCTTTCGATGTATCACAATGATATCCCAAGAAAGCGATCCAACTGACTCCAACAATCATAATATAAATTACTTACCGTGGGTTCCTAAGACCTAAACTCTGTACAAAACAAATATGTAGTTATCCCTCTCATTATCTTTGACAAAACGTTTTACACGAAAATTTTGGTCTCAAAAACTCACGGTTAGTGTTCTCATACAATTAAAAAAATAACATTGTTATTTATAATATAATTAAATATAATATATTAAAAGAAATAACAAATAAAATAGATTATTCGAGTTAGTTAAACTAAAATACAACTAAAATGATTTGTCGTAGTCACATGTGGTGTGAATTGAACTCTCCAAGGACTCGAAAACCACTTCAATTATACGAGTTACATGGAGAGCTGTGCAAAGAAAGGATTCCCGCTTCGAGTTAACTCGCTTTTGTTGACTTGCGTTAAATTTAATAAAGAATTAAAGCGCTAAGGCTTTATTATAAGACACAGAAATTGTGTGATAAATAGATAAGTCGTTTAAAACTATATGGATTGTTTTTTGTAAATTGATTCTGTTTTGGTACTAAAAATATTATTAAAAATCAATATAGGTACCTCATGCCATTAGTCAGAGTTTGTTATTTTATAGTTATATACCTTTAATTAAGTACAGAAAAAAACACGTGCGATATTTCATCACTCTATTGTCTTATATTCTATATTTATTATACTTGCTGTAAGTCGGGACTTTGTCCGCAAGCAATTAAAAAATAGAATATTTTTTTACAAAAAAAAAAAAAATCCTCAGCCCCTACTAAATCTATTGTCTATATCTATTACAAATCTTCAGATCCGTCCAGTTATTCTGGAGTCACGTGGTAACAAACATCCAACTCATCAAGAACATAATTGTAGATTACATTAGATTCTTTAAGAAAAAATGCCACGAGTCATTTTAAATCCGACGCCTTTCACGACGAAGTCCATTGATTTAACTTATACAAAACCTGATAATTGATTTCGACGCTAAACCGCTAGGACAGTAATTAAGTCGAGCGAACCACTATCGGACAGTTTCCTCACTGAACTCGAAATGAACTAGAATAGAACTCGCACGGAACTCGTCTGAATTAATGACCGCTTCATTTGACACAGCCTCGAGCTAATTATAGAAATTACAAGTGACGAATTTCTTTTACCATTGAATATAGACGTTGTCTACCGCGAAAGTGTTTTTATATTTAAATCGAGTTCTTCTTATTTGTTCTCTTGTAAAATTCAATACTTTTATACTAGCTGTCGACTGCGACGTCGTTCAAGCGAAATAAAAATAACTTAATTAGTAGCCTATACTGTAGACTATGTGTATATCTGTGCCAAATTTCAGCGAAATCTCTTTAGCTGTTGTGAATATCTCCCCGGATGTTTGTTAGAAGGTACCTCGTCTAACAAACATCCATTTATCCATCCATCCAACTAAACTTTTACTGTATTAGTAAGATTGAAAATAAAAATAATTATGACATGTTGTGTAAGAAGTTGTACTGTGCAGTACTTAAGTATTAATGACGTCACAACATGTTTTGCAGCATACATGGCAGGATAATTTTACCTTAAAGTAGTACCGTAACTTATATTGCTATCTCCATTTTATGCAAAAGGGAAGAGGGGGATGACAATATTTTTTTTGAGTTACGGCAGTGAAAACGTAATAAGAAACGGACGGGTTGCCGTGTGTTGTGACGTCATTCCACATTTATACATAATCAGACACGTAGATACTAATAGGTGCATATTCCTTCCAACTAAGAGAGGAGACATTTGTAAGTGAGTAAAAATGTTTGTTAATTAAGTAAATGCATGGAGAGGTTTCGATATTCCCAATAGATATTTTCGTATTTCATGTTTCCGTCCTTTGAGACAAACTTAAAAGAATTTCCAAACGAAATAAAGTAAACAGTCGGACGAGAGTTTATATTAAAATGTGGCAAGTGACTGCAGACCACTCCAATTACCGGAGTTTTGAAAGTACGAATGGAAAGAGATACGTCCAAGTGACAAGAACTTGATAACTTTGTTTCTAAAGTGATAATTGTGCTTTTACGCTAAGTTAACGTCGTTTCAACTTAACTTTACCTTGTTCTTATTTTTTACACTTTGATAAAACTAAAATAAAAAGGAAAAAAAGTAAATCAGTACATTTAATTAAAACAATAAGAATTGACATTTTTTGTCAACAGATTTTTGTTTTTTTTGATTTTTTTGTTTTGATTTTTTTGTTAACAAAAAAAATTATTAAACTTACAATTTTATTTTGTTTTAGAAAACCAATAAATATGCTGGTTAAGCGTATGTACATACTTTATAGCAGTAAGTCATTTTCCTAAAATATGTGCAACATATTATAATGCTCAATAAACTATTAGAACGAGTTGTGCAGTTTCGCTACTCGAGTTGCACCTTAATTGGCTTTTAGTGACCTCACAATGGCCGTTATAAATCCTTTTTTTAGATTTTAACTTAAATTAATTAAGATTCTGTTAAGATAGTCTTTAAAAAGTTTACAATGAGGAAGCAACGGAAAGAAAGAGTAAATAAAAAAGGCTGACTCATTAGAAAAACAGTTTGAT